ACCACTTATCAAAAAGAAAAAGTAAAACTACTTTACCATCACACCTAGATTGCTTATTAAATTAGGAACCCCCTAAAACTTTTTCTTTACTCCTTCACATGAGGTGAATGTATTGCACCTATATATGAGAGAGTCGGAATGCATGACTCTAAGCCATTCTATAAATGAAATGCATGTAACTTTAGTCAACATTTATCAAACCAAAACACATGGGGGAGAAAAATGAAACACATTGAAAACTTCCAACAGGCAACAGTGAGCTACCTATGATCATTCATGATAATAATATAGCGGTAGGTACCAACAAAATGATAAAAAGGGCATCTTTAAAATTTTAAAAATCAAATAAAATTGAAGAGGTTGAAAATATATATATAGTTATGCTCTCATTCGGATGTCCGCAAGTTATTACCGTACAAATGCAATTGTAAACAAAGAGAAAAGTAGGGAAAGACTGGACTAAAATAGCATATATATATATATATTAGGTGGATCTTGGATTCCCTCTATATAGTACTAGACTACTAGAGAGGATCCTTTCCCCTGTTTGGCTTTCCTTGCGTTGACGGGCAAGAGTTGGGCCACGCCCCACTCAATCAATTGGTCTTAAAGGACTTTTCCCTGTTTGGCAACCACTTCTTTCTCATATGCTGTCTAGGGTTTCTGTTAGTACGTATTTTACTGTTTGCTAATCGGTAAAATCCCATTGCTTCCACAATTACCATAGATTTGAACGCGTAAAATACAAATTCAACCTTCCAAAATTCTCAATTTGAACGTGCTACAATGAGTGTAGGTAGGTTTCAATCATTAATATAAATGGATCTTACAATGCATCAACGACTGACAATCACTCACACGTGCGTAAGCAATTGTCGCTAGCATAACTATAATTATAATGCACAATAAAACTGTAATTGTTAGTAATTTTTTTTATAACAAAATTTAAGTGGCCTAGCTTGTGAATTTGAATTACAATCCTTGGTTTAAATTATAGTCGTCTATTAAAAATCTTTAAATAAAAATTCATTTGTAAATAATTTGAAGTAGATTGTAGACCCATTTGTTGGACCGGATAAAAGGTGAGATTGGACTAAAATAGCATGCAGCAGAGTCCAGTTTGGGTGACTTGAAAAAGAAATCCAGTTCCGGCTGTCACGTTAAAACAGATGGGCTAGATTTTTACCCATGCCATTGCTTACTTGCAAGGGTTCTCTCTTCAAGCAAACAAACAAACCGATTCTCCTTGTCTCCTTCTAGGCTGCTAGTCTCTTCTCACGAGATCGTTTAACTGAGAGCAGCTTTTATTGCATCCTGATAAACAAACCAAAAATTCATTTAATATTGTTTGGGGATGCTACATTCTGTAGCGCACTCATACGAGTGATTTCTGATCGTAGATGCATGAGTCTTGTGAACAGTTAGAAATCAATCACGTGCAACCAACCTTAGTATTCTCATAATGTTTTTTTAAAAAGTTAAGAAAAAAAAACATTGGACTACTTCAACATTACAACAAGGTCAAGCTACATAAATGCTTACCTACACCACAAAGTAACTTTGATATTCAGCATCAGCTCAACATTTCTACTTACTTTACAAAATTTATAGCACAAGTGCTTGCCAAAATATCAGCAACAAGGACCTTCTCATTTAGAGCATCATAAACTCAATATTATGTGCTCAGGATAGTTAATATATCTTGAAAGTCCAACATCAACCTATTTGCAGAGTCACCTCTGGGAATCCACATTTTGTTGCTCATGTGCCTTCATGATGTTATCTCTAAATTCTGCTGATGGACTAGAACCAATTTGAAACGCTGAAGTCCCGTAGCTTGCTAAGATGCCTCTCCATGTCTTGTCTGGTCTTATTCCACTCTTCCCTCTCTATCACTGCGGTGGGATCATCCTTTTCACTCTGAAATGATGGACGAGAACAGGGAATCAGATGATGAACAACAAATAAAGTTGAAGAAACCAATTTGGATCGAAGTTGGTTACCCCATGAATTATTCTGAAGGAGTTGCCATTTTCACGTATTACAAGCAGGTCATGCCTTCTATCTCTGCTTCTTCCACCTGGAACACTGACCTGTAGAATGCATAACAACCATTGAAAGAGCATAAGAAACAATTTAAAACAAGGGCGTGCTATTCCCTGAAAGTAAATAGGGAAAATACATAATATAAGCTACATTTGACACTGACTTTTGGTTTGATAGTCTCATACTTTGACTCATCTATGAAATATACGTAGGTGAAAATGGTGAAGAATATAATGAATTTCATGGAAACATTCAAGATAAAACCAATGATGGAATCATTTATATCACAATTTCAGGATCACAGAATCAAACATAGAAAGAAAGAAAAAAACATAACAATATATGGACAAGTGATGTGAACTCCATGTCTGACACTTTCGAAACTCAAGTTTTGCAATTCAATTATGCCATGGGGTTGCCATAGAGATAGAAGGACCTCTATGTGCAAGCACCACGGTTCAATAAATCAGACTGTATGACGATATAATTACTGATGCATACTACACAGGCCAGGCCAGGGTCATAGACTTACAGTATTACACCATATGTGGGGAAAGGAGGAACGGGGGAGGAGTCAAATATGAACCAGCTCATATACGGTCACAGCATTATCAGACCAAAACAAAATAAAAAGATGCACAGCATTAGGACAGAAAATAAAGAAAATGAAATTTTCTACATTTTGGTATCAGATGTAGTGAAAAATTCAAAGAGAACTATACATTTTATCTTAAAGACAAATCCCACTTGGTTTAGTCAAGGTCCAAGACATAAGACGTGAGAAACATGGGTCTCAAAAATTAAAATGTACTCTACTAATTAATAATTTTGCCGGTATTCTTTAGTAAGGATCAAAAGTAAACTCCAATGACAAGAAAAACTTGTAACTAGCAAAAGACGCTGTCAATTTCTTAACAAACTCACATAAAGAAACGTGTAAGCAATATGATTCATCTAAGCTAAAACGGCTCTCTACAATTTAAAGAAAGGAGCAGATTGTGATACCAAAGGAATTATACACTAAAAGACGAATCTCAAATACCAACTTAGAAAGCAAAACAGAAAAACTAAAATTCTTACCAGAACTTTTGCTCTGCTAATAGATTTTGTTTTGGAATCAATCACATAAATCTCCTCAAAATCCAGCACAAAATCAGGGTCGCCCAACCTCCGGTTTCTGTAGTGCTTTGTCAAGTAAACCTGAAACAGAAAAAGTAGCCTGGTGAATGATTGCTACTGCTAAAAAGAGACACCCATATATCAAAGAAGACTAAAAACAAGAACACCATCCATTGGGATAAAAACCCACCCATCTTAAAGAAGTTCTTGTTGTAATGTTAACTGCTACATCTAGAACCATTTTTGTGCACTCAAATTGCAATTGTTTCCATTCTACGGTCCTACCGTCCTACCCATTACATAGTTGCACAAAATGAAATTAAATTCATAGTTCAATTCAATCATACCTTTAAAACGTCCCGCTCAGACTTATACAACGGATCTCTAGGAGCATCAATTGGTGGCTCTGTCACATTGTAGCAGCTAAAATCACTCTTGGCACAGCGAATGTACTACAGATTTAAAGCAAGCAATGATTAAACAAAATAAACATCAAATTGGGCCTTAATAAATCATAATTAAGTGTAAAAATTTAGAGTACCTTCTGAGGCATTGGAGCTAAAACCCTGGGAATTGCATAAACATCTGTGTCCGGAGGAGTAACATACATCTGCATTAAGTATTTATGAGAAACTTAATTTTCTTACTGAAAATCAAATTAAAATTGAAAAAAATTAAGCAAAAATTACACACCTCTCTGAAATCATAGACGTCGTTATCGGGATCGGGGGGCTTCCTTATGAAGAAATCGCAATCGAGCAAGCTAATCTTGTGAAACTCGTCTTCGTTAATCCGATAATCGACGACCATCTCGGAGTCCCAGCCTTGCGTAAACACAAAGCTCTTGCTCTGCACCATGGCGATGTCCTCTTCGCCGTTGGCGGCAGCAACGGCGGC